TCCAGGTGCATGTGAATACAGTACAGGTGTAAAATACAAGAACAAATGTACATGTACGTGATCTTGTTAGCATAACTGTGCATAATGTTCATGTGCATGAATGATGTGCATACATGTACATGTACATGTACATGTAGGATACATATAATAGTGCATTGTATATGTACATGCCCACTAGGCAAAGCTTGTTCAAGTGCACAGGTGTGGTACATGTAAGCCTGGAACTGCCAGGCATCATTGGTAACTGAACTGTCATTCGTTTGTACCTGAATTGTTATCAAATTAGGTCCACCTGAGCCTGCAAGCATGGCTTCAGTGGCCACTGCAAACTGCTAGGCTGTCTAAATAGAGAGCTGTCTGTGTGTTAATGGACAAAATGCTTTCCCCTTGCAGCCACCCAGCCTTGACCCAGCCTTGGCCTAGGACAAGTGCCCAACTAAACGAGGGTACCATATGGCGCTGGCCAAATCTGTCACAGAAAACACCATGAGAAAATACTCCTACATCCTCATTACCGGGCAACATTTCCGGTTGGCCACGTGCCCAAGGCAAGATTAAAAGAATTGAAAATGAATGAGTAAATGATTGATTTTTTTTAAATAAACCTAAAGTGCATCTGTGCCCGTAAAAGTGCATTTTGTCAGTGTACATGTATTTTGTTTCATGTCAAGTGATGCACATATTTGCATGAGTGTCTTCTCATACTGAATAGAAAATGCAATGGGCGTTTTTTTATGTCAGATTGAAATAATCATGCTACATTGTAATTTCAGTTAAGCTTGTACATGTGCATGTACACCTGTCTGGTCACACAAGTCTACTGAGCACCGACCCAGGCGTGCACTAAGGCTAGACGTTAAACAGATCAAATCCATGCGCCACCAATCTCGTCTCTTATGTATACAAAATGTATACGGATGTTGTCGACGTGAACTGTGCATTTCGTTGGGACTAGAAAGATTCAGCTGATGTTGGGGTATGGACGTAAAGCCCAACAATCCGACAGTGTTCCAAACACTATCCCCACAGTCCTCGATCCTCCGATTTCAATATGATTTCACATACACAATGGGGGCTTAGGGTTGATGTCGGTCAGGCATTTTGTACATGGAGTATATGCATTCACAAATGTGTACACTATCATCGCACTCGAACAGAAGTAATGGGCTGTGCATAATTTACGCATAAAGCAATGTGGCATGTAATGCCATTACCTTGTGTGCAGATGTACATGTACATGATGCACATTTACACGTTTGTATGTAGACGGGCTGGAGATATACCTGCAGGTTCAGCTGAGGGCAGCTGTTGGCACGATTGTGTTGGTCTGTTACACACACACACTGATATACACACGCAGCAAGGCTCCTCGGTAGTGTGGATATTGCCAAACCCTGGATGAATTGCAATAATGAGATGTCGGCTCAGTACCTTCTGGAAAAGCTACAAATCAGTCTTTCCGTCTGGATGCTCGGAATAATTGCCAACAAAAAAAAATGGGCTGAAGGTGGCTTAGATTTCAGTAACTCCCCGGCCTCGTAGTTTTCACGCATGACTCGCGTTATCTGTATTGTAAATGTCTGGCTTCATTAAAAATAATTGTTGGGACTTCAGATTTCTTGTTTTTATGGGTCAATCGCCCAGATGGTGAAAATAAAAAAAAGGCCAGTTATGAAGTGTTGCAAATCCTGTGTTGATTACCCTGGAAACTCTTATCTTTGACCAGATTTTGGGATCATTGGGATGAAAATAAAGTGAGAAAAAAAATACTATGCTCATTTACTTAGTTTGTCAATGATTTCATTGCAACTTTTTAACTACACATGTACATGTGCAGTACGTGTGTGTCACCCATGTTTTCATGTGCATTCAGTAAAGTGTACATGTACATCACATTTATTTGAGTTGATACAAGAGCTCATAATCATCATGTACAGGTACCATAGATACAAGATGGAATGTACATGCGCATTTAATTAGTTGCAGAGTTCAACAACCAGCCGAATGGGATAACGAGGATAATGGGCGGTGCAGCTCACTGGAAAAAGGGGGAGGAGTATGGTGCTGGCACGACGATGTCTGATGCGTGCAATTCCTTCTTTAAGCCCACCTGTTCCTGCCATGATCAAATTGATTAAATTTGGACGACGTAAATACATGTACCTTTAAAGATGCAGCAAAATGCTTGAAAAAGTTCAAACAAATAAAATGGGCGGGGGATAAACGTAAAAACTGAAAAGATGAACTAAGCGAAGTTAATCATTCTTTCAGGAATGATGTTGCCTGTGTAGTGCATCAGCACTGCCTGCGTATTTGTAGTGCACGACTTCTGTCTATTTTCAGGCGAACGTTTCATACACTTTATCACATGTACATGTACATGAACCTCCAACACCTACAGATGGTTGAAAATGGTACTGTTGAGCTTCATCTAATATTGTCAGACATGTACATGTAGATGTACTGTTATCAGTACAGTGTATGCATGGATCCATCAACTGAGCTGTACACTTTTAATGTCATTCAGGGGTCAGGCGAGGCTGCGCATCGCTTGATGCCAACAAAAAGATTCCCAGAACTTGGGGTCTGTTGTTGGCCATGCCATCTTTTGTTACATTGATACCCATAGGGTGCAGTGAATGGGTCTGATCTAATTGAGTTGGGTTTTTTTCCCAACTGGTTGTAAGAATGGATTTGGAGGGCAAACAGCAAAGGACTGGAAAGAATAACAGGTTTACAACTTGGTTGTGATTAATTTTTAGGGGGGTTACGTGGTTTCAGTAAGGGACAGGCGCAGGGTAGTGAAAATGGCTGCTAGTAGTAGTAATGGGTAGACTTATTTACCTGTCTGGATGGTGTTCTATCAGAAGCATATCCCTCCCCGGGGTTCTTGGATCAAAATTGGTCAGATGATGACTGACTAGCGGATTCATTTGGAAATGCATGTGCTCTTGGCATGATGTACGGTACAGTAGCTAGCCACACTGGCGAGCTGAACATGCTACGCATGAGCCAATCTCTGTTCCTCAGTATGAAGAGATTATTAACACAGTACTAACAAGAGGACCATGCCATAATATGGCTTGAGGGGTGTTTGGAAAAAAAACAAAGCTAAACTCGTCGAACAAAGTACATGTAGTTGGAAATGCATAACTTTCGACTTGTTTTGACTTTAATATCCCCCGCCTTCGGCGTGGGCAATATCATTGTCTATTCTCTAGATCCGTTCTTGGAAAAAACAAGTGCAGCCAACCACACATGTATATTTATTCCTTTACTGTTTTTGTGAGGCACTTCGAAGAGATTTGGTTTTGGTCCCTCTGAACTTAGCACTGTGTACACTGGTTGTATAAGACCAGTTCTTGAGTATGCGGATGTCATTT